ATGTGCTGTACATCTGCTCAAAAGAAAAAATTACTTTGCTGAGGTTCTTCAGAAAGACTGTTGGTGTGGCAGATTCTGTCAGGACTTAGATTTTCCAGCTGTCAGTGCACTGAGCTCCTCCAGAGGAGTGACCAGATTCATGATTAGGGTATCCTGGGGCCCTTGAGACGCCTTCAATTTTGAATGTATTTGCTGCTGAGGAGCCGGTGAAGTTAATTCTGCACATCCCTTCTCCCACCCCCATAAATGCATGGGAAGCCACGGTTCTGGTTTTGAGATGCTAGGGCAGCTCAGCATCCCTTGCCCTCACCCTGCATGTCTTGTTACTGGGTCTCCCTGTGTCATTGTTGCAAAATTCCACACCCATCATGTTACTTAGGTGCCAAACATTTACAGAGATAAGTCTTCATATATCTTGGGGTCAGAAAGGGACAGATAAACAGAAAAGGACCTTGCTTGCCAGGAAGCCTAGCGAGTTAGTCACGTGAGGGTGGGTGATCTGGGCACACCTCAAGACTCTGAGTGTGGGTGAGAAGTGGCCCAGGAGCCTGAGCGGGAGGGAAGTGGGGGTTGCAGGTGAGTTCCATGGCTGGGAGGTTCAGCAGTAGCCTGGTGTGATCCCCCATCATGAAGACAAACCTGCAGTCTTTCTGGGTGCCTACCAAGCTTGGTTTTGTACAAAAGCAAGGTGGGAGTCTATTTTTGTACATGAGATACATCACGCTTTCCTGTGGGCCAGTATTGTGGAGTCTGAGTTGTTTACACTGATGCCTTCCCTGCCCACCACAAATTGTGTACAGAGTCTCCAGATGATACCACCCCTCCCCCAGCTCCCAAGCAAGAGCTGGATCTAGGCCTGTGTTATATGTTATATTTAGCCTTTTTATATATGATATGGGGTTTCTGTTGTTTGTATTTTAGCAGTGTGTACACCTTCATTTAAATATATCCGTGTGTGCATACATATATATGTATATGTATGTATGCATATATATATTTGTATATAAAATATCTGTCATTTCTCAGAGTTCAGCAGAAGGAGGTGGAGTCCTGCAGCCCGAGAGAAAGACTGCATCCTTGCTAATAGTGTTTGCCACAAGTGTTAGTGAGTCTTTCCTATTACCCTTTTTTCCTTTGGGAGACAGAATGAAGCAAAGCTTCAAGTGTTTGCTGTTCCCATGGCAGCTAAATGAGGGTCTGGGGATAACTTCCCTTGTATTCCTCAAGCCGCACTTTGGGGCCCTCTCTGCAGTATTAGCCCCCTTTTTGCTTGGTGATGCTCTGTCTGTGCCTGTACGTGTGTGACAGTCACTTTTGCATGCCCTTTGTGTCTGGCTTCCAGCATCTGGGGACAAGATGGTGGAACCAGAGCATTTTCAGGTTTGTCTGAAGCTTCTTTTCCAATTACAGGTCATTCCTGTTTACCTGGTATGTCTGCTTTCTTCTTTTCCTTGCCTTCTCTCAGAAGAGGGGAGAGGTCCTGATCAGGGTTGAAATGACCTACAGTTGGCTCATGGCCTTTGCTTCCCCTGCATGGCCTTCTTAGAGCAGGACCAGTGGCATGTTATCTCACAAAGTTCTCAAACATTTAAGCAGGTCATAGGTTTTCTGCAGATACAGAAATGGGCTCCACAAGGTTATGACTTGCCCAAGAATACATAGTTGCTAAGGGGGAAGCAAGCCATTAACTGCCTTTGTTCAGCATCAGGAATAGGCTCAGCAATTGCCAGCAATTACTGTTTTGTTTTGTTAGCAATTACTTTAGACTGGTTTCTCAAACTTAAAGTGCAAGGGGCATACATCTTTCCAAAACACAGACTGGAATCTGCAGCCTTTCTGCAATGCCACCCACTATACATAGCTCTGCCTTCTCAAAATGGAGGGACTTTTAGAAACCAGATGATCTGAGCTATTACTGCCGACTTCTGGCTCTCCAGTGGGGAAAATTCACGGTAGGAGTAACTGTTCAGAGAGTGCTTGAGACTGGGTTTATAAGAAGGGCTGCATAATAAACACCCCTGCAGCCAGAGCAGTCACTTGCCTGTCAGCAAGGAAGGTGATTTCTCGCGAGTTCCTGTGTGTCCAAAGCTGAGGTACCATGTTCTTTGAAATATGCCCCCCACTGCCCCTCTTTCTAGGGACATATGGCTACAGAGTGGCTCCTGAGTTGGGAAGGAAAGGGGAAAACTACAGCTGGAAGTGACTGGAGGTGATGTGGTGGGAATAAAGGGAGCAGAGGGGCTAGGGCTGCAGGGGTGGAGCCAGGGGTGCTCTAAGCTCTAGGGTGGGAGGGACACACCACATTCTTCATGAAGAGTCCGGGCCAAAGCCACCGATTTGTGTGGGACACTGCACTGCTCAACCACCAGCCAGTGGGGTATTGTTTATTTTATTTTTCTAAGAAAAAACTTCCCTGTTGCATTCATAATTAATGCTTATTGAGGAAATTTGGGAAATTTCAAAATGAATCAGTTTGCCATCCAATGCTACCACTGTTAATCTTTTGGTGTTAAATGTTCCTCTAGAAATTTCTGTGCATAGATTTTTGGTGTGTTTACATAGTTGTTATTCTACTGTATATACAATTTTATGTCCCTTTTGTACTTAACATATAAACATTTTTTCCATGTTATCAGTCTTAAACAGAAGTTTATGGCTGTAGCCTCTCTGTTGAGTTTCCATAGCATTGTTTGCCAGGTTCCTAGAGTTGCGGGGAGGGATGGGTTGTCTCCTGTTAGTCCTCCTGACTCCCCTTCGGACTCTGGTAATGCTGTGTGGATGGACTATTCAGCTCCCTGGGACTGCCCCTGCCTGCCCTTGGTGACCAGGGCCTGTGAGCTGCTGGGAAGGACCTCAGCGCATAGCAGCCTGGGTCTCCTCAACCGCAGGCTCTAATAAGCAGCCACGGGGCCAGAAATGAGGGACTGGGAAGAGCCAACCAGTCTTGGTCTTCAGACCATTTGGCACATACCTCAGGCTGCCTTTCACCCTTCATTGTACCTTAACCCTTGATCAGATCAGCAGCCTCCAGCTAGAATAAGGTTTGTCCTGCCAGGCCTTGGCTTCTGTGGGGCGAGGGTAATGGAGCCCCTTCTTTTGAGGCTCTTGCACCAGTTCTGGCAGAGGACCTCGCCAGTAGCTTGGTAACCCACTGCCTGGCTGGTGAGTTGGCAACTCCTAGAGCCTGTGCACCAGCTCAGTATCCTCAGAGCCGCAGGACCTGCCGCCTGCCACTTTGCCCATGGTCATTGGAGGTTAGCTAGCCAAATATGAGGAGCAGCAGAGGGAACATCCCAGCTTGTGAGTGATAGACTGCTGAAGGAGGGAGCGCATCAACCTCTTCCCCCTCCCCGCCGCCCCCACCAGCCTGGTGGGAGGGCTGCTGTAGCATTTGGCTCTACTGAGCTAGAGCCACACACGGTTGACCCTGCAGTCGCTCCTGTCATTTGGCCATGCTTGCAGGTGAGAGATGCACTGTACCCACTCGCTGGGTTTTGGCCTTGTGTGAGGATTAAGAGCAGGCAGTGGGCTGGGTCGGAAGCAAAGCCAGCAGGCTGCAGGGCCAGCTGCCTCAGCAGTTGATGTGGGTGAGAGGCAAGTACAGGCTGCTGCCCACACTCTGCAGGGGGGAGTGGGGGGGAGGGCAGGGGTGGTTGCTGAAGACAGAGGAAGTAAAACTGCAGGCCTGTTAAGGTGCACTCCTGCATTTGCCAGCCGCCTAGCTAGAGCAGGCCTGGAGAGGCTGCCTGTTGCTTCTGGAGCCACCAGTCTGTCAGGACCTCACTGGACAGATGGAGGACCAAGAGCGCTGAGCTGCGGGACAGGACTGAAAAAGGAGAGATGTGGTAGTTTTTCCTGTCTCTTCCCTGGAGAAGGTATATAGGAAATGGAGTCTAAAATGAGCTAATTAGGAGGTGCCTGGCTGGCTCTGTCAAAAGAACACGCGATTCTTGATCTCAGGGTCATGAGTTCAAGCCCCACGTTGGGCACGGAGCTTAAAGAAAATAGAGTGGGCAAATTAAATAAGGGGCGCCTGGGTGGCTCAGTCGGTTTAAGCAACCAACTTTGGCTCAGGTTGTGATTTCACAGTTTGTGAGTTCAAGCCCCACATCAGGCTCCCTGCTGTCCACGCAGAGCCAACTTTGGATTCTCTCTCTCTGCCCCTATCCCAGTCACACACTCCCTCTCTCTCAAAAATAAACATTAAAAAAATAAATGAGTTAATGGGCAAGAAAGGGGGTCTGAGGACCTCCCCAATAAGTTAAACATTAGTTTTACCATCAGTTCTGCTGTCTCCTAGCCCATGTCCCTCCTAGCCCCAGTCTAGGGTATGAGTTGCCTGGTTAGAATTCATCTCAGTTGTAAACTAAAGTAGGAAAGCATCAGGGGAGTTTGGTAAGGCTGAGGTCAGAAAGGTGGTCACCTTGTAATTCAAATACTTCTGAGCACCTGAGCTTTGGCAAGTGCTAGGTGACAGCAGTCTTGTGGGGAAAGTGAAGAACTAAGCTGCTCATCAAATACAAGCCCTGGAGCCCTGAGTGACATCTCCAGCTAATTCTTGCTTCAGAGAAATTGGCATTGGCATTTATAGAATTGGCCAAGTTATATGCACCCCCTTCTGGTACATCAAGCCCCGAGTTTACAGATGGTGGTAGAGACCCTTCTGTTCCCTGGACCATAGTTCTCTCATGGGGGCTCACTTACATTGGGAACTAGGGAGGCCTGCAGAAAAATGCAGTCCTGACTACAAGCAAACCTGGAAGGTGGAGCAAAGACTGATTCTTTGAAAAATAAGGGCAAAAAGTATACTATAATGTCAAGCTTTACAGTAATTCATGATTCACAAGGGCTCTTCCACACACACATATTTTTTGTTTAGTTTATTTCTGAAAGAGACAGTATGACCAGGGGAGGGTCAGAGAGAGAGGGAGACACAGAATCCGAAACAGGCTCCAGGCTCTGAGCTAGCTGTCAGCACAGAGCCCGACGCGGGGCTTGAACCCACACACTGCGAGATCATGACCTGAGCCAAAGTCAGATGCTTAACCGACTGAGCCACCCAGGTGCCCCCACAAACATTTAATAATAGGGAGGTGATGGGGGGCAACAAAACCAAAGGCATTGTTGGGGCATCAGCCGAGGGCAGGGCTGGGGCCAGAGAGGAGTGGTCACAGGACATCCCCCCTCAGCAAACTGGGCTCCTCTTGCTTCTTTCTATTCTGCCCCAACTTTAGTCCCAGGGCCTATGCCTCACCTCCAGTGGCAGAGGGAAGCAGAGCAGGACCTGAGCCCAGGGCTGATTCAAGATGTCTGTTTGGTAGATAGGAAGCTGCCCACAGCTTTCCATAAGGCACCATGCGTGGGCTTTGGGGGTTATTGAGTAGATACCTTGACATTGATGATTTAGGAGACCTGAATCCAACAGGCTTTTCTGCCCCTCCTGGCATTCTTGGCCAGTGAGTGCCCTTAGTCTGGCTGTTCCCATCTGGGAATAGCACTGGGCTGCTAAGGATCCTGTCAGAGGAGCTTCACGTGGGTTTCCTACGTTGTAAAGGGATGTTACCATTGACAGTGTGCTCTTTCCTGCCTGCCGAAGAGGGGTCCTGGGCTCTCCATACTCTTCCAGGTTTGATTGCCTGGTATAAATGCTCCCCATGAAATGGGGGTGGGGGAGTCAACCCATTGTATCTGGGGGCAGGGCAGTTGGCCTGCTGTTGACCATGGTGGAGGGATGCCCAGGCTACACGTGGCCCCAGGGTGGTTCTGGGATGTGGTGTCTGAATCCTCAGTGGCCACTGCTCCTTTGGCCCTGGCTGTGCAAGGGAATCACGAACACAGAGATGTCATCGTAGGACACCTGCCCTTCCTCTGTGAGACCGTCGTTCTTTCCCTGTGTGCTGTGTATCAGCATTTGGGCCAGCTCCGAGAACCTGTGGGGACCATCTGCAGATGCACATTGGGGCCAAAGCAAAAAGGCAAAGCCAGCCCTCAGGGAGAACTTGCTGCACAGGGCTGGATACAAGGGGACTCAATGCAGTCCAGCTCTGGGGCCAGGCAAGCTACAAGCATGAGAGGGCCACAGGTTGGACCACGGAGATTTTTGGCCCCAGAGATTTCTGAACCCAGGGATTTTGGGGACCCACAGTCATCCCCAGACACTTGAGACAGCCCCGATCCTGACCACCTGCCCTGAGCCAAGCTCATTGTCAATGCTGTCTTCTCAGCCATAACTACTTCCTGGTGTTGCTGCTGACACCAACCCAGGCCCAGGCAGGTCCCCAGAAGCTCCAGTACCTGTGTGGGTCCTCTCGGTTGCCAGGGAGGAAGCTCCGCACTAGCCGTGCCACCTGCTCATTGGATAGGACATCCCAGAGCCCGTCAGTTGCCATGACAACCACATCCTCCTCCTGCAGCTCCAGCTGGTCCACATCCAGTACAGTCACCTGCAAGTTAAGACTGAGGATCCTCAGCACTCCCTTCCCAGGCTCCCGCCAGCCTCATCATCTGCCTTTCTGGACAGACGGAAGCTGGTGTGGGCTGTTGCCCACTCACCTGTGGGACAGAGAGCAAGAAGGGCTTGAGCTGAATGTCTGTGTCCAGGACTCTGAGCTGATGGTCTCCCAGACCCCGGGAGACGGCCAGTGTTCCCAGTAACCGAGCCTGGGGACAAAGGAGATGTGAGGTGACAGCAAACAGCCCCAGAGAATGTGCAAGTAAAGTACACAGAAGTGTACTGTGGCCCTTGGGTGCCCTGGATTGAGGGACAACCATCCTATAGCCTTGGAGCAAACCCTATGACCCCAGCCATGGCCCCCAACAAGGGACAAAGGAGCTCCCACTTCTGCAGGGAGCAGTTTAAGAGGGGTTCTTAGAGGGCGTCATTCACTGACCTGCCTCCCCTGCCCATGGATCAGTGGGTACTTGAGATCCGACTTCTCCACACACTTGTAGCTCCTACCAGGAGCAGACCCAGCATTAACCCAGGCCCTACCCACCCCTCATCTCCCCACAACACAGAGCCCACCATGCCCAGGGGGAAGAGGACTGCCCCAAGCCCACACAGTGGGCCTGACACCAGGGCTCTCCCCACTGTCTCCCAAACCCTCTCTGCTCACCAGCCTCTCATGTGGTGATCCCGGAACAAAACCTTCTGCCCTAAGTCATCCCCCTTCAGTCGCCGAGGGAATTCAAGTCGGGTGAACTCACCAGCCAGAAGTTCAGGGTAGACAAAGGCCTGGGAGTAGGGAGGAGTGCTCAGATGAGGCTCTCTCTGGTGGCCTCTGGTGACCCTAGACTCAGGAAGTAGGGCTCCATAACCTCCCTCTGCCAAAGGCACCTACCAGTTGCTGAATCCTCTGCCGCTCAGTCTCTGGGGTAAACTCAGAGCTCAGGGGCCGTACTTCATCTTTCCGTACCAATATGGCCCTGGATGGGGTTAGGGAGGAGAGGGAGAGGCCTGTGGAGTAGGCTCCGCCCTCACTCATGACCTCCCTCCCGTTGGCCCCTCCTCCAGCCACCAGGAACCAGCTCAAAGCCCCCCATGACTACCTATGGCCTGCAAGGAAAAGGCTCGGCCCTTGGACCTAGAGCTTGAGGTGTCTGCCCTCCCTCGAATTTGCTGTCCACTCATACCTTGACACACCAGGTACACAAACAACTCAGCCAGTCAATCCCCACTTCCGTCCCTCCACGTCCAGCCCCTTTTCACTGTCCCCACTGCTTCTGATGCCTGCCTGCCCAACCCTACCCTCCAGGTCTTACTCACCTGCTATCCCCGGCATTGGCCACATACAGCTTTCCCTGCAGGGACACAGCCACCAGGGCTGTGCAGCCGCCCACCTGGCCTGAGGCCTCCAGCTCCCGCCCGATCACCTCATCCTGGGGCAAACAGAGGTCACTTTAGCTGCTGCTTGTACTGCCACCATACCACTCTGTCCCTAATCCCCACCCTACCATTCACTTCCCCACCAACAAGCCTGGCAGTCTCAACCCAAAGTCTAGCTATGACTCCAGGATGCCTGTGGCTAGGAGATCTAGATATATTCTTTGGGAGGGAGGGAAGTCCTATTCAAAACTGAGGATGGGAAACCAGCCTCCACACCAAGGACCATCAGGGTGCACAATGTATGATGCACATAAGAACACCTAGCACAGACTAGGAACTGGATAAAAGGGAGGGGTCAGTGGTAACAATGATGACCGTTACTAACAGACCAATCAACCCAATCTTGTCCTCCCAGTGCAAAGATTCAGGGAGACCACCACTGTGTGCAGGGACGTCCCACAACCCAGCATCCCACCACAGGTGCCCGGTCCCTTCCCCAGCCAAAGGCCACACTCACACATTCCTGGAAGGCACTCTCCAGAGCCCCAATCACCAAGTCTTCTGCCCTAATGCCCTTCTCTTCCACAAACTGGGGATCACTGGGGCAGATGCTGTGGCCGCTGAGGTGCATGGGGGGCTGAGTGGCCACCATGCCCTCTACCACGGCCTCCAGCTGCCGGCGGAGGCAAGAGTGCAGGGTGTTGGCAGCCAGGATGGCTGCGGCTGGCCCACCATGCCCATCAAACAGTGCCCAGTAATGACCTGTCAGGAACTGTACAGGAAGGGCTTGGTGTCAGGCTCTGCCTGGCTTCCCCAGTTGTCCCCCAGCCCGGCACGGGAAACTAGAGCAAGAACCGGTCCCGGCTTGTTAAGACGGGTTCAGGCCCAGCTGCACTCACCTCCTCTGGGCACAGGGTCAGCCACTCCTGGTCCTCGTCAGCCCCAAACTCACATCTCCGGATGGCTAGCTGCCCACAGGCCGCCTGGTCCTCATTGAACTCAGATTTCTCTGCATTGATGATTCTGAGGCCAGTAAGTGATCAGAGACCCTTCAGGGACACACCCATGTCCCCATGGGCAGAGACCAGAGCTGGTACACAGGGGGAGGAGCCCTACCTCTGAAGCAACAGCTCCTATGCTGTCCCTGACACACACCTGGACATAGTGTAAAGTTTCCTAACTGTTCAGTAACCTCAGAGTAAGACAAAACTCAGGACCCAGCCCCTCTGCGCTGACCTGGGCTGAGAGGTGAGGATGCGGCTGTCCGAGGAGATCTGGGGCTCCGTTGCCTATTCTCCACCCCGTCTCAGCCAGATTCCCTGTCCCGCACAGCACAGGCCACAACCCAGGGTGAGGCGCTGCGGGCGTGTGAGGAGTCTCCAAAGCCCGCAGCGCGGAACTCTACCCAGGGTCCCTGCCTCACCTTGGAAGCCCCTCATCTTCCATGTCCTTCCCAACTAGCGAGCCTCCCTGAGAGAGGCTGGAGTCCCAAAGAAAAGGCTGTGGTGGGGCCGGAGGAAGCTGTCAAGGAGTCCCAGGTGAGGACAGGAGGGAGGTAGCCACAAGGAGGGGTGGGGGGGGCGGGGGCACTGGCTCAGCTTAGGCTGTTTTCCAGGGCCGCCAAGGCGCCGAGGCTGGCCCTGCAGGGCCGGGACGGGGACCCAAGATTGGGGGGCAGCGGGGGGCGGGCACTCACTCGGCATAGCCTGCGTTCCAGGGCAGCGCGCGGCCCCGCGCTGGGCTGCGCACCGGCCGGGCGTCGGGGCGGCGCTGGGCGTCGGCGGTGCCGGGGCCCGAGCCGGAGCCGCGCAGGAAGCGGGGCCGCCGGTAGGGCACCGGGCTGGCGCGCGGCCTGGGCGGCCGCGGAGCGGGCAACGGACCCCCGGGCAGGAAGCGGCGCCGGAACCAGCCGGCGGACATGGCGCGGAGGCAGGGGGCTCCCAGGCTGGAGGAGGAAGCGGGCCGGGGGCGGGGCCGGGGCGGAGCGGTGACGCCCCCAAACCCCTGCCTCCCGCGGGGAGTGCGCGAGCGGCCTGGGCGTTCTCGGGCTTGCCGGGGACCCTGACGACCCCCAAGAAGCAAAGGCTGTCGTCACCCCCACTTCACAGGCAAGAACACTGAGGCCTCCAAAGGCGAAGTGGCTTGCCCGCGTAGCACAGCCACATGAGCGGGCCTAGTGCTGCGCCACACGCGTGGGGTGCTGGCCTTTGCAAGGGAAAAGCCCTCCTCGCCACCCAGCGAGGTGACGGGGCCCTGGAGGCTGGGCTTGCGTCCGCGGCGGAGCCTCCGGCCTCCTCCCGCTGGGCCCGGACCTTGCGCAAGGGTTAGATGGGAACAGGATGTGCCTGGAGGTGTCAGACTGACACGTTGAGTAAGAGTCTCAGAGCACAGGGTTCCCTTGGGTGGCCTTCATTCTCCGCCCATGCAGTCTGTCACCCTCCACCCCCAGATGAGGCTTGGTGGCCACCTGGCCTTCCTTATCCTGAGACTCCGCTTCCCCACTTCGGGGATAGCCTCCCAAACGACTGCCTCTCCAGTCAAGATGTTGTCTCTGGACAGACAGCAGGATCCTCACTAGCATGTTCGTGGCTGGTGGGCAAGAGGAATTTGTGGTCCCCAGAAGGCTCCAGCCGGTCGGAGTTCAGACCTGGAACTAAGGGAAGTGAAAGACTTGCATCCCTTCTGGAGGCAAGATGTTGCAGTCTCTTAACCCCTGACCAGCTGTCACCGTGCGGTCAGCAGCAGTGTCTCCCTCCACATCTGCAAGTTAAGAGAGTGCTTCGTCACCCTTCTGTCACTTAAGCGCAACTCCCTGCATGGCGCTGTTATTTCTGTCTCTTGAGGAGGACTCTGAGGCCCAGAGAGAGGAAGTGTCCTGATGCCCAGGGCTCTGCTGTTTCCATTATGACAGTTCAGCTGACTCAAACTCTCCACAGCGGATTTCTCTTCCCCTTTCCTCCTCCAACTCAAACCCCCGAGGCCCATAGCCCAGGGTCCCCAGGGAGAGCTTCAGGAGGAGTCCCTACCTTTGCCTGGGCTCCCTAGCCTAGCACGTGTCCCGAGGCCCCACGCTGGGTGCAGGAGTACAGCAGTGATGGAGATAGGTTCCCCAGCTCTGAAGGCGAAAGTCTGGTGGATGGTGCTTGATCCAGCTGGCAAGGGGGTGGGGGCAAAGTCAGAGAAAGCTTCCCAAAGGACACCTGAGCTATGGGCTATCGCTGGGACAGAAATGGACCAGGGACCCAGGGTGAGGCAGGCCCAATCCAGTCTGTGGGGCCACCTCTTCATCTCTACCAGCCAATAGCTCAAAGGTTTTTAGTCTAAAATGAGAGGAAACAACACAAGCACAGTCTTTTCCTCCACCCCACTGTCTTGGACTTCCCTGGGTGGGATGAGTCCTGTCCTCTGAAGTGTATTCAGAGAAGCTTCTGAGAGGTCACAGGTGGTCTGTTGCTCAGCGTAGCCATGGAGCCCTATGGGAGCCATCTCGTCCTCCCTGCTCCAAGGAGGCCTGAGTGTCCCTTTAGTGCCACTGAGGCTCCTCTGGCTTCTAGGTGGCTTCTGGGAGCCTCTATTCTGGCTTGGATCCCAAGCCTGACTTTCTTAGTTTTCTACCTAATTTTGCTGAAGCACATCCTCTAACAACTCTCCAAGAAAGGATGACTGGAAGGTGATTTCCTGGGTCCTCCCAAGTCCGAAAGGCTTTGCCTCAAAAGTTTGTTGTTGTTGTTTTTAAAGTAAGCTCTACACCCAATGTGGGGCAAAAGCTTTTGTTTTTGATTGATATTTTAGCTCAGAATTCTGACCTCTCTGTTCATTGTCTTTTGACTGTTGCTTCTGCTGCAATCCAGTGTCCCTCTCATTCCCAGACCTTTAGAATGGCTGTTTGCCTTTTTCTGTCTCCAGACGTTTCCAGTCTCTTCTGTCTCCAGTGTCTGAAATTATAGGGGAGGTTCCTTGGGGGGGGGGGTGTCTTTCTTCATTCTTAGCCTGAGCCCTCTCTAGGGGCCATGCAATGCCTCACCCCCAAGTGACATCCTTCTCTGGACACCCTTTTCCTAAACATCAAGTGAATCCAAGCTTGTTTCCTTCCTGGCCAGACCTCTCCTCAGCTAACTCAGCCAGCATCTGAGAGATAGGGATGGGGAGGAGGAAGTTTAGCAAAAAATAAAAAGATGGTTATGCTACATTTTCTTTCCACTCACAATGAGAATAGGTTTTGTTGAGTCCCATGACTCAAAAGTCAAAAGGTGGGGCTCCTGGCTGGCTCATTTGGTGGAACATTCGATGCTTGATCTTGAGGGTGTGAGTTCGAGCCCCACACTGGGCACAGAGATTACTTAAGAAACAAAAACAAAACAAAAAATTTTTTTTAAAACCCACAAAATTCAAAAGGTGTAAAGTATATTTACTAACAAGTCTCCCCCACAACCCCATCCCCTGGCCATGTAGTTCCTCTCCCTGGAGACATCCAATATTACTAGTTTCTTGTGAATCTGCCCAGAGATGCCAGGTATTCTGTGACAATTCAAGCCAAAAAAAATTACTTATGAGACAAGAAATTATGAGTGTTGGCAAGGATGTGGAGAAAAGGAAACTCTTGTGCACTGTCAGTGGGGATGTAAACTGGTTGCAGCCACTATGGAAAACAGTATGGAGGTTCCTCAAAAAATTAAAAATGGAACTGTCATATGATCTATCAATTCCATTTCTGGTTATCTATCTGAAGCAAGTGAAATCAACATCTTGAAAACATATCTGCACCCCCATGTTCACTGCAGCATTATTTACAACAGCCAAAACATGGTAACAACAAAAGTGCCTACTGACAGATGAATGGTTAAAGCCAATGTGGTACACAACTACACACACAGGAATATTATTCAGCCATAAAAGAGAAGGAAATTCTGCCACTTGCAACAGCACAGATGGACCTTAAGGGAATTATGCTAAATGAAATAGGTCAGACAGAGGAAGATAAACACTGTATGAACTCACTTATATGTGGAATCTAATCAAACAAATTTCAAATCCATAGGCACAGAAAATGGACTGCTTGTTGTTAGAAGTGGGGGGTGTGGGTGGACAAAATGGGTGAAATTGGTCAAAAGGTATAAACCTCCAGTTATAAGTAGGTTCTGGCGTGGGGGGGAGGGCACCTGGGTGGCTCAGTCAGTTCAGGTCATAATCTCAAGACTCATGAGTTCAAGCCCTATGTGGGGCTCTCTGCTGTCAGCACAGAGCCTGCTTCGGGTCCTCTGTTTCTCTCTGCCCCTCCCCTGCTTGCTTTCTCTCTCTCTCAAAAAAAAAAAATATTTTAAAAAATAAGTGAATTCTATGGATGTAATCTACAGCATGGTGACTATAGTGAACACTGCTGTACCGCATATTTGAAAGTTACTAAGACAGTAGATCTTAAAAGTTCTCATCATAAGAAAAATAATTTTAACTATGTGTGCTGATGGATGTTACCTAAACTTATTGTGGTCATTTCACAATATATACAAATATTGAATTGTATACTTAACACTGATACAATGTGATTTGTAAATTATATCTCAATTTAAGTAATTTAAAAATTACATATATGTAAATCTTTCCTCCTCCCCTCCTTTTCTTTCCACAAATGATAGCATACTCTATGCCATATCCTACACCTGAAATTTTCATAAAAGATACCTCTTTTTTTTGTATCAGTCCTTGAAGAGCTACCTTACTGTTAGGGCTACAGAGTAGTCTCTGCAAAAATGCAGATGTGGGGCACCTGGGTGGCTTAGTCAGTTAAGTGTCTGACTTCAGCTCAGGACATGATCTCACGGTTTGTGGGTTCGAGCCCTTCATCGGGCTCCGTGCTGATAGCCAGCTCAGATCCTGGAGCCTGCTTCAGATTCTGTGTCTCCCTCTCTCTCGCTCTCAGAAATAAATAAAAAACATTAAATTTTTTTTAAATGCAGACTTAATGTAGCTAGCCCCCTAGTGATGGACATTTAGATTGTTTTCAGTTATTAGCTCTATAGTTTTTGTGGAGGCGATATTGGTAGGATCAGTTCCTCACAATGGAATTGTTGGGTCAAATGCATTTGTTGTTCATAGCAGCACTATTCACAATAGCCAAAATCGGAAACAACACAAATGTCCATCAGCTGGATGAATGGACAAATTGTGGTATATATGCACAGTGGAATATTATCCAGCCATAAAAAAGAATGAAGTACTGATAATGTGCTACAATGTGGATGAACCTTCAAACAATTATGCTAAGTGAAAAAAGCCAGATATAAACGGTCACGTTTTATGCTTCCATTCATATGAACTATCCAGAATAGATAAATCCATGGAAATAGAAAGCAGACTGGTGGTTGAAGGGACCAGAGGAGAGAGGAATGGGGAGTAACTGCTTAGTGCGTAGTTTCCTTTTGAGGTGATGAAAGTGTTCTACTTTTTTTTTTCTTCTTTTTTTTTTGGTAGGCTTCACACTCAGCACAGAACCCAGTGCAGGGCTTGAACTCATGACCCTGAGATCAAGACCTGAGCTGAGGGGGGGTGGCTCAGTCAGTTAAGTGTCCAACTCTTGACTTCAGTTCAGGTCATGATCTTGTGGTTTGTGAGTCTGAGCCCCGCATCGGGCTCTGCACTGACAGTGTGGAGCCTCCTTGGGATTCTCTCTCTCTGTTTCTCTCTCTCTCTCTCTCCGCCCCTCCCCTGCTTGTGCTCTCTTTCTCTCTTTCAAAATAAATTTTAAAAAACTTTTTAAAAAGGAGCTGAGATCAAGAGTTGAACACCTAACCAACCGTGCCACCCAGGCACCCCAATGAAAATGTTTTATTTATTTATTTTTATTTTTTTAAAATATTTTTATTTATTTCTAGGAGAGAGAGAGAGAGAGACAGCATGAGCAGGGGAGAGCCAGAGAGAGAGGGAGTCACAGACTGAAACAGGCTCCAGGCTCTGAGCTGGCAGTCAACACAGAGCCTGACGCGGGGCTCGAACCCACGAGCCGTGAGATCATGACCTGAGCAAAAGTCGGACGCTTAACTGACTAAGCCACCCAGGCGCCCCTTATTTATTTACTTTTTAATGTTTTATTTATTTCTAGGAGAGAGAGAGACAGCGTAAGCAGGGGAGGGTCAGAGAGGGAGTGACAGACTCTGAAACAGGCTCCAGGCTCTGAGCTGGCAGTCAGCACAGAGCCCGACGCGGGGCCCGAACCCACGAACCGCGAGATCATGACCCAAGCGAAAGTCGGACGCTTAACCGACTAAGCCACCCAGGTGCCCCCCAATGAAAATGTTTTAGAACTGGAGATGGTAGTTGCACAACATAGTAAATGTACTGCCTTGATCCATTTAAGATGGTTAATTTTGTTATGTAATTTTCACTTCAATTCAAAAAAAGGGCATACACATTCACAACTTTGTAGATATTGTTCTACATGAAAGTTTACTCTTCCATCAGCCTATTTTCCCACAGTACTTCATTAAAGTTTTCAATCTTTCTCCATAGATAAAAATGTGGAAGTCTAGTTTGATTTTCATATATCTTATTAAGAGGGGATAACCAGTTTTCTAAAGGTCTGAGAGATCTATCTGTATTTCTTTTTCTGTGGGTAGTCTGTACTCATTTGCCCAGTTTCTGAGTGAGACTTTGGGGTTATTTCTTACTGATTTATGAGAACTCTTTATTTTGAAATGAGTTACAAGTATGTTGTTTGTAGCCAATTACAGTTTGTTGTTTGTGTTTTGGCTTTGATGGTGGCTTTTTCCATATAGACTTTTAATTTTTTTAATGTTTATTTATTTTTGAGAGAGCAAGAGTGTGCAATTGGGGGAGAGGCAGAGAAAGAGGGGGACAGAGGATTTGAGATACACCAACAGCAGAGAGCCCAATGCGGAGCTTGAACTCAGGTTGTGAGATCATGACCTGAGCTGAAGTCGGATGCTCAACTGACTGAGCCACCCAGATGCCCCTAGACTTTTATTTTTCTTTATTTAATTTTTAATGTAAATGAGTTTATAGATTTTTTCCTTTTTTTCAATTTTTTTTCCTTTTATGCCTTCTGGGTTTGGTGACATACTCAGAAGGCCTCCTTCACTCCAAGATTCTACAAACTTTTCCCTTTGTTTCTTCACTATTTTTATAGTTCACTCTTGTTGTTTTTTAACATTTAAACGTTTGACCCACGTGAAAGAAACCCAGTATGTTCTAAGAAGTTCAATGCCTGACTCTGTGTTGAGAAACATCAGAAAGAATGGAGCAATCAACCTGTTCCTGGATACTGTGTTCATCCCAGGACTTGTCTGAGGAGCTATGTGCAGCTTTCTCATCTTTCTGCCTGAAACCAGATCTCACCCAGAGATCTGTTTGGGTACTCTGCTGGCCCTTGGGCTCCGTGCCTGCATCCCAGGCTCTGAAACAGAGCAGGACTGGGCTCAAATCCCAGCCTCCCAGGGGGTTTCTTTTCCTGGTCAAACCTTCATCATTGAGGTGTGAGATACTGATGGAAGGTGCAAGGGCCACTGATCAATAGGATTTCTCATCCTTTGTTCCATGTCTTGAGTAAAGGAAACTAAGGTTCTTGCAGAGACTCACTGCCTTGTGACCTGTATCAAATCACTTCATCTCTCTGAACCTCAGATTCTTCAACTGTAAAAGAGGGACAGTAACACCTATCTCATAGGGCTGTCAGGGGGATTAAATGTGCCCAGTGCATAGTGAGTGTGCAACATAAATACTTAAATAAATACATAAATTACTTTTAAGTAAACTCTATGCCCAACATGGGGCCTGAACTCATGACCCTGAGATCAAGAGTTGCACGCTCTACTGACTGAGCCAGCCAGGTGCCCCAAGACTCTAATTGTTCATTCATTTGTTTATTTGGCAAATAATACTGAACACTTACCAATGCTGAGCACTATTCTAGGTGGGGATACAGCAGGAGCAAAACTTAACTACTGGTAAAGGGAAGACAATAAACAAATAAGCAGGTAAATATATGTATCAGGCAGTGATGGGGCACCTGGGTGGCTCAGTCAGTTAAGTGTCCAACTCTCAGTTTCAGCTCAGGTCATGACCTCATGGTTCTTGGGTTCCAGCCCAGCGTCGGGTTCAATGCTGACGGTGTGGAGCCTACTTGGGATTCTCTCTCTCTCAAAATGGATAAACTTAAAAAAAAAAAAAAAAAAAAGAGGGGCAGGGGGAGGGAATGATGCAGTCAGTGATCAGCCAGGCAACAAGGGAAACCTTGCAGTTAAGGTAGTCACAGTTCATCCAGTGACAAACATTTCTACAGGGAACATAACATTATTGTTTTTCATTAACCTGTTTTCTTGGCTAATTCCTGTTTCCAAGAAACAGGATGCTCTTATGCTTCCGTAGAATTGCCAGGTGCTCTGATGGAAGTGCCCAGGCCTGAGAGCTGATGTAACTGTCGGCTCTGTGTTGCTGTCCCATCTGTGCTGTGGCAGGGCTGAGTTGGGGACTTGCCTATGAGCTATTCTCCCAACAGCAGGCTGTGAGGCCACATAGAGTTTTTAGTTTCTATTGTGAGTTCCGGGGTCAAGGTGAGCATTACACAGGTCCAGTTTTCAAGGTGTGCATAGGAAGATAAGTAAGAAAATCCTTCAATTTTGTGTTCACTGTACTCTCAGGAGATGAGAAGCCAGTCCTTGAGGCACACAGAGGAGGGCACGATGCTGCTTACTCAGCATGTGGTAGTGAGACAGTGAGCAGGGAGCTCAAGCTGGGGCCAGATGCAAGGCAGGCCCCATGCTCCATCATCAATTCTCAGCAACCCCAGCCCCCAAAGGTGGCCTCCTTCCCAATCTTCCCAACCAATATCCTGAGACAGGCTCTGATTGGATTGACTGTGGTCTTGTGCTCATCCCTGGTTCACAGTGGCCTGGAAGATACATTATGTTGACTGGCTGGTAACAGCGGGACTGGTGTCAGAGAAGGCAAAGCTGCTGGGTGTGGAACCAGAAGTAGATCAGGAGTTGGGAAGTTCCTCACTCGCCAAACTCTGGCTCTCCTTCAACCTTTGAGCCTTTGCACATGTAGTTTCTTCTTCTCACAAAACTCCTCCCTCCGCTCTGCCAGGCTGACCTCCAGGTCTCCCCTCAAACTTCACCTCCTCCTAGTGGCTCCTTGCTCTCTGGGCAGGGCCCTTGCCACCACAGGTTCATTCGGTAACTGCCAGGTAGGTCAGTCTGACTCCCACAATCAGCGCAGGGCCTGCAGCCAGGCCCATCTCGAGGTGCCAGTGCTTCACAGGGAGTGCTCAGGGAACGTCTCTAGGAAAAGGGATGCCGCTCAAAAATACACGCGCTTCCATCCTCAAGCAAACCCCCTCCCCGCCATAAATGCGGGTACAAACGGATCTCACCCCACATGGAAACCCACCTAGCTTGGGGCGCAAAGACTCGCGTGCGCCCTACCTTTCTCGCCCCAGCCACAAAACAGTCGGCTCAGGGTCAATAGACAACCTCGCTCGTGAGGGCGCCCACGCATGCCCGACCACACGCAGGCCCTGTTCTTCGCCACAAACAGGCACGCGCAGGCGCGCGGACACGCCGATCAACTCCCCGCGAAAGGCTCACCCGGAACAAGACGCACGGTACGCGCGTGCGCGGCCCAGAGTCTCCGCCCCCTCCCGGCCTCGCCCGTCGGGGGGCGGGGCGCGCTGGGCCGGGTCCTGCGGCACCGCCCGGGAAGCTGCGCGAGGCTGGGCGGCCCCCGCCACATCCTCCTCCTCCTCCGGGTCCTGGCGAACGGAGCTGGTCCAGGGCTGAGCCGAGGGCTCTAGGGGCGCTGGCGGAGCGGAGCACGGAGCCATGGCGCACCAGACGGGCATCCACGGTGAGGGAGGATGGTGGGCGGCCGGAGGGCCAAGGGTCTCTGCTCGAGGCTGCGCCCCCTCCCCGGCGCTCAGCCATTCTCTCCTCCCTGGGACCAGCCGGGGGAAGCTTCCTGTTCCTTTTTGCAGCCGCCGGTCGCCTGGGGTGGGCACATATGGGGGCGTGCGACTTACTGTGCATAGTTCGGAGTGGGTGTGCATGTACGTACGCAGCTGTAGCGGAAATATCTGTGTGCCCATTTGAGGGTGTATGTTCCTGTGTGTGCCCATCTGTATATTTTTGTTCCTTTCTGGGGGTGGGTGTACGCGGATGTGCACATATGGGGGAGTGTGCACGCATGTGCACTTGTGTGTGGAGTCCTGTGTATGCACATCTGGATGAGACTGTGTATGTCTAGGGTCGTTCATGCACATGCATTAATAGCTGATTGAATGGCCACTGTCGCATGGAACCATCTTTAGGCATCTGTTTTGTGACTGTGTGCACATGTCTGTGGGTGTCTGTGTGCACAATTTGGGTACATCTCAATGTGCATTTGTTCTCACGGATGCATGTAGCAGAGGTGTCTGTGTAAGGATTGTATGGGTTTGTGTCTGTATGAGGAGGGGTCGCTGACCTTTGGCTCCCCCCAGGACCCTCACATACTTGAGCACGCTAGACTGGGGAAAATCTGGGACTTCAAAGTGGGGTGGGGAGAGTTGCCAATCTGACCTTGACCTCTGACCTCCCTACCATTTTCCAGTCTGATTTCCTGAATCTGCCCCAGCCAGGGTTAGAAGGTCCCAGCCCCAGGCTGAAAGCAGAGAAAAGGGTCTAGATTTGGGGTTTGTGAGCGAGGGTCCTGGCTTTAGAGACTCCAGGCCAGCTCCCCCTACCCCAAGCCTCTCCAGCCTAGAGCATCACCCCCTTCCCCAAGGGCCTAGTTTCCTCTTTATGCTGGCTGGGGAGAAGCAGCGGCCAAGAGCCAGGTGTCCTGACCCTTCCTGGGCCTCAGTGGCCCCCCTCTGTCCCTAGCCTGGGAGGACTGCCTGGGCTGTGGGAAAAGCCCAGGCTGCTTGCCCAGACAGCCTGGTGGTTTGGCCATCAGCCATTCCTCCCACCACATCAGGATCCCCAGCCCGGGGACACCACCACCATCGACCAGCCTGGCTGCCTGGATCTCAACTTGGCTTGTGGTTGTGGCTGCTTGGTGGCTAGACCGCCTAGAGGGTTCCCCTGGCCCCGCCCCACAGGACCAAAAAAGGCCAGAGTCTGGGTCAGGGCCAGCCTCCTACCAGGTGGGCCAGCTTCTCCAGAAGGAGCTGGAGGAGCTGGAGGGGTGGCTTCATGACTCAGCCCACAGAAGGGAACAGCTGCCCCCTGGACCTGCCTCTTCCTTCTCCTTTGTCTGGTCACTACTGCTGCCTCCATCTGGGAGGAGATAGGAAGTTGTGGCGCCTCCTCACTGCTCGGGGCTGACAGGTCCTGTGGCCAAGGCGCTGCTTCATTCCTTCATTTCCCACGTGGTGAGACAAGCCTGGCTAGGGGATCACTGGGGACTGCCCCCCTGCCCCCCAGCCCTCCTGCCTATGAGCAGCCCACTTCTTCCCATTTTTGGCCTGGGGAGGTAGAAGGTGAGATCAATCGCCCTGGATGCCCAGATGCCAGCCCACTTGTAGCCATACCTGTGGATCTGGTGACCTCAGAGCAGGGTGGGGGGGTGGGAGGACTTGTAACTTGAGGCTTATGGGGTGGGGGGAGAGCAGGGCAGCAGAGGCAGGGGCAGGGAGGTGGGGGAGCATGAATCTTTGATGATAGAGGCTCAGATGTCCCAGGCCTGGCCTCTGGATTATTGATGGTGGCTGAGGAGTCATGGGCGGGGGGAATGTCTCTTCCACTACTGGGGTGTCACTTTGTCCTAGTAACTCTAGAAGGGGTGTGGCAGCCTCTCCCTTAGGGGAGCTTCTTGGCTTTCCCTCCCAGAAGGTCTGAGCAGGTGGAAAGGGCAGCTCAGCGCAGCCTGCCCCGCCATTATTACAGTAGTAAATTTACAGTGGTAACATTTAACAATTGTTATTTGTAAAGTCCTCACTAGTGAGGATTTTTTCCCATCTACTCCTCAGAATAGCCCTCTGCACCTTGAGCGTATTAGCTCCACAGTATAGATGAGTTTGAGGCTCAGTGAGGTCAGAGGTCACACACAACTATGGAAAAGGTGGAGACCCAGAGGCCAGGCTTTTCCTCAGGGATTTGCTTGCAGTCTGCTGATAAGCAGCTCTGTCCTGGCCCAGTGGGACTGTGTCTCCCTGCCGTGGTACTTGGAATTGGGACCCTGCTCCCCCAGCGGCCATGGAGGATGGTACATAGCCTGATTTCTCAGGCTCAGGGTCACCCTGCGGGAGGGGCCCCTGAGGACATGACCAGAGTTTGTTTTCCTAAAGGCCCCCACCCCCTGGCCTCAAGCTGCCCAGTCTGGTCCCTATAAATACTCTCTGACCTCAGCTCTCCAGCTGTGTTCCTGCAGAATTCTCCTGACCCCTGGATAGCCTCAAGGTCATGCTGGCCTGGCCATAGCACACGTAGAGACCCAAGTCGGGCCCTTCCTCACATGAACTTTGGTTTCTGCGTCTTTACCACTGGTAGATCTGTGACATTCCTGGTCCTCACCTCTGCGCTTGGGTCCTTGGTCATTGGCTGTCACCTTCCAGCTGTGACCAAGACAGGGTCTGTTTTGGAGATTCCTGATTGCCACTCTTCCGCTAGGAGCATTCTGGACTGCCTAAGGGTTGGGGACTTAGTGCCCCCAGCAGGGCTGTGCTAGGGCTGGGCTTAGGACCTCTCAGGGTTAGGCAGCCTGGCTGGTGGGCTGGCTGTGCATGCCTGTGTATTTGTGTGTATGCTCTGTCCATCTCTTGCCTGGACACATCTTAGCCAGGTTCTACAGTTGCCTGTGTGTTTGTTAGCACTCTGGGGACTGTGTCCGTGTATATGTTTGTATGCCAAAATGTGTGTGTCCATTTATGTTTGACCAGCTGAGTGTGTTGTCATGAGGGTGTTTGCATTTCTCCTCCACTGTGTCACGTAAATGTTTATATGTTACATTCACATATGCTGGACTGACCCAGTACTCGATGGCACATGCAGCAGGTGGTGCACGTGTGTGTATGTTAACGGACATAGTGGTCAGTGCATTCTGGGGGTATGTGTTCATGTATTTCTGTGTTAGTAGATATGACAGAACTGGGAGTGTCACAGGCCACTTCAGTGCTGGGCTTTCCTAGGGGGCAGGGGACGGATAGGGGCCATTCACTGTGGTTGGCCTGGCCTGGCCCAGAGCCCGCCCCTTCCTTGAGTGTGCTGGCCCATCCCCACCTACCCCGTCACCAGAGCTCTCCTGCTGGCTAAATTTGGGAGCTTATGTTTGTGGACCGTGTCAGGTTCCCAGTCACATGGGGGGCCGTATATAACCCGGCTCCCAGCTCTACCACCAGACCCCACAGGACGGAGCGGGCCCTGAATGCGTCCCTGCCCACCCTGCTCACGCTGCCTGCTTATCCTTCATCATGTTTCTTGTTCTCATAGCCACCGAGGAGCTGAAGGAATTCTTCGCCAAGGCACGGGCTGGCTGCATCCGGCTCATCAAAGTCGTCATTGAGGACGGTGAGTGCCCCATACTGCCCCCTTTGATGGGCTAGGGCATAGGCTAGGGGCTAGACCCAGTTGCTTCTCTGGGAGCTGCTGGGACATTTGCCTCCAGCCCCTTCAGGATCTCACTTGCTCCTTGTGGGGATAGGAGGTGCTTTGTAGGAGAGCGTTGCTGGTGGGCATGATCATTTCTCCTCTTACACAGAGCAAGAAACAAAAGCTCAGGTGACAGCAAGGAGAGCCCTGCCCAGGGGTCCTGTCCAGCTCCCCAAGGGCTATGTGGGGGTCAAAGTCCTAGCCATGATGCTAGGGTGGGCATGGGAGCAGGAGATCAGTGAGGCTAGGCACTGCCCCATGTGGCGAGTGCCACTCACCTTCCTCTATGATCGGCAGACTGGCTTGGCCCTGGGGGAGTCCCAAGGAGAAGCCCGGGCCCTGCCCTTGGGAAGTGCCCCTACAACAGGGCAAAGGGACTTGTGCCCAGCTTGCTTTGACAACATGATGGGGGGATTCCAGGCTTGGCTAAGCCTTGGCTTGGACACTGGGAACCTGAGCCTTGCACAGGGTGGGTGCTCAGCATATTGGGGTTGGGGGTGGGTGAGCTTGAGCTGAGGCTTTAAGTGGGGAGAAGGTTTGGGGAGGCAGAAGATTAGACTGAGCCTTGGTGGCGGTTTCTCCCCTTCCCTTCGTGCTAAGGGTTGTCCCTAGAGGTGAAGGGTACAGACACTGGCAAGGGCTGGGCCCCCCATGAATCCTTGGTAGCCAGCAATAGTGGGCTCTTTCGGAGGCCCCCAGAATGGGCTTGGTGCCCAGCTAACTTTTCACCCATCGAATTGGTACAAAGCAAGTTCTGCCCAGACCCAGAATTCATTCCAGGCTTTAGTACCAGAGCTGTGCTGAATTTTGTCCAGGGTCCTCAAGTTCAGATGCCCTCAGAGGCCAGGTCATGGTCACTGAATGAAGTAGGTCAAGAATGAAGGTTTCCTGTGGTAACAGGACAGCCTCCCTGCCCTGCAAAGAGATAGATTCATTGACCTTAGCTCTCAGCCCTCCCTGTTGCCTCCGACAGGACACCCCTGCAGGTGTTTACCAGGAGGAATCTCTAGGTGGGCTCTTATCTCTGTTCTGCATTATAGTTGTTGGGGCACCTGGGAGTCCCCAGGAACCTTCAGGCACCCTGACAGACAGCCATTGCCCATCTCCTACTGAGTGCAGCTTGAGGTCCTTCTAGAGAATCCGTTAATTCCACTTATTATGTAAAACTTCCCATTTTGAAAATGTTGGCAACATATTAAACACTGTTGGCAGTGCTGGGAGGCCAACTGTGCCTGCTGGTTTTGACCCCATCTGCGTTCTAGGAGGATAGGTGAGGAGGCCAAGGCCTGCAGAGCGGCAGCGGGGCTGGGGGACCTGGCACATTTGGGCCTCATCAGGAGGGCCTGGTGGTCAGGTACCCCCTGGCCAGGTGGTGATTAACCCTTGCCCCAGTTCTTCCACCACCCTGGGCCTGTGCACACCTGGGCTGGTACTGGGTGCCCAGCTAAGGCCCTGTGGATGGATAGGTCAAGTATATGTCCAGACTCAATGGCCCATTCAGCCAGTGTGCACCAGCCAGGTCGGTGGCCAGCCTGTTGACCCCAGGCGTTAAGAGGTTTGTTAATTTGTGGGGGAGGGGACTACGGCTGGCCAGGGGCAGCAGGGTACAGATTTATACAGTATCTGATAGGAGCCCCTGTCTCACTCTTTCCCACACGCTTTTGCTTTTGCAGATCCTTGTGGCCTGAGGTTAGACCCTACCTCCTTCAGCATAGTTGTTCTGAGAAGCGTGTGCTGGGGGTCTGCTAGAATCTCAGGCCAAGGGAGGAGGGGAGCAGGAAGTGGCACAGTGGGGCTGTGCCTGAGCAGCTGTGCTGGGGGGGGGGGTTGGGTCTGAGTGTGTGGGTGATCGTGAGGAGACCACATTGTTGGTGGCTGTGGGCAATGCAGCCACGTCTTCTCGTGTTTGTCCGTGCTTCGTCATCTAAGTGGGCACGTTCTCGAGGCCATTTCTGTGCATGTGTGTGTGCGTCCGTATAGCTGGCAGCTTTGTGCCTCATTCATTCATTCACTCATTCACAGATTCAGTCATGTAGCCTCATCCTCCAGGGATTTGGGGGCTCCAGGGGAAGGTGAGTGGAGGGGCCGGCAGATCTGAGCCCCAGCCAAGAAGGTCCACAGTCTGAGGTGGGAATGTGAGATGGCTACTCCTTGGCTCACCCTGCCTCTGCCCCCAGAGCAGCTCGTGCTGGGTGCCTCGCGGGAGCTGGTGGGCTCATGGGACCAGGACTACGACAGGGCCGTGCTTCCGCTGCTGGATGCCCAGCAGCCCTGTTATCTGCTGTACCGCCTGGACTCACAGAACGCCCAGGGTTTTGAGTGGCTCTTCCTCGCCTGGTCACCTGACAATTCTCCTGTGAGTCCTGGGGACCCCTGCACAGTCCCCAGATCAGGGGAGAGGGGATGCTGGGTCTGAGTGAAGGAACAAGGCCCTGCCCTGGGAAGTCCAAGGGGAGAGATACCAGGTCCTTCCTCAGAGTCTGAGAGAGGGCAAGGCCCTGTGCTTGGAGCCTGACCTCTCCCAGAGGTCCCCCAGCCACCTCAGCCTGGCTCTGGGAGGCAGAGACTTGGGCTGGGGAGGCTCCACCCCCTCACATCCTTGCACCGTGCTGCGCCCTCTGCTGGGCATGTGGGTGCAAAGCGATGACCCGGTCCCCACCCAAAGGCTCCTCTGCCTGCTTCTGGAGAGAGAAGCAGTGATGAGTCTCACAGCTTAGCTCCTGTCCTTCAGGTGCGGCTGAAGATGCTGTATGCAGCCACACGGGCTACAGTGAAGAAGGAGTTTGGGGGCGGCCACATCAAGGATGAGCTCTTTGGGACTGTGAAGGTAGGCCCCCCAGGCCAGGCCCCACCAGGCTGGGATCACAGGCCCACAGAGTGTGGGATGTTATGCAGGGTCACACAGCAAGTGGGTGCCAGACTTGGAGAGGAGGAGAGAGGGCTGGGAGGGTCCAGGGCTGCAAGCTGGGGTGCTCAGTGGGCTTTTGCCAGCTCAACAGCCCAAGGTGCCCATTTATGCTTCTGTATCCACCGGCCAGGACGACCTCTCCTTTGCTGGGTACCAGAAGCACCTGTCATCCTGTGCAGCGCCTGCCCCGCTCACCTCGGCTGAGAGAGAGCTTCAGCAGATCCGTATTAATGAGGTGGGTGCACCAGATGGGCGGGCACAAGTCCCAGCCTGAGGCCCTCAGGTGGCGTGAGGCCCTCAGGTGGCGTTAGGCCCAGATGGCCAGGCCTGTGCTCCAGTAGGGCTACACCCTGGTTAGGCAGGCAGGGCCTCACTCACTCTTCTCTCGCCCCCAGGTGAAGACGGAGATCAGTGTGGAGAGCAAGCACCAGACCCTGCAGGGCCTCACCTTCCCACTGCAGCCCGCAGCGCAGAGGGCACTTCAGCAACTCAAACAGAAGACCATCAACTACATCCAGCTGGTGGGTGCCCATCCCTGCCCCGGGCACACGCACAGGGCCCACCGTGCCCCTCCCCTGCTCCTGCTTAGACATGTGCACAGATGTGTGCACAGCCCCCAGTCTGTCTCCTCCAACTCATCCATGTACTTGTGAGGACCTGCTGTACCCCCACCCCCTCCCCTGTCCCTCCCTTTTCCTGTTTTGACTATGGACGCCTCATACAGTAGGTGCACCGCGTTCCCCTGCCTTGCCCGGTCCTTGCTCGCATGCAGGGACATCTGTGAGACAATGTCCCTCATTCTGTCCCCTCACCGTGTACCCATACCCAGGCTGGAGTTCACACTGACTCCTCAGTCCTGAGCCCCTTCCTGTCCTAGACTTCCTCTGCAGCTCCCCTAACTGCCCTCTTCCCCAGGGTGGGTCTTTCTGCCCCCGTGCCTAGGCTTTCTGCTTTCTTTCTTTTTCTTTTCTTTTTTTTTTTTAGTGTTTATTTATTTATTTTTGAGAGAGAGAGTACCTGCTCATGTATGCATGAGCAGGAGAGGGGCCGAGAGGGCAAGAGGGAATCCCAAACAGGCTCTGTGCTGTCAGCACAGACCTCAATGCAGGGCTCGATCTCCGAACCATGAGATCATGACTTTAAATCCAGAGTCAGGGAGCACCTGGGTGACTCAGTCAGTTAAGCATCCGACTCTTGGTTTTGGCTCAGGTCATGATCTCATGGTTTGTGAGTTCGAGCCCTTAGTTGGGCTCCACAGTGACAGCGCAGAGCCTGCTTGGGATTCTCTCTCTCTGCCCTTCTCCTGCTCAAATGTGCGCTCGCGCTCTCTCTCTCTCTCTCTCTCTCCATCAAAATAAATACATAATCTTAAAAAAAAAAATGGGTGGGTCCCTGAGTGGCTCAGTCAGTGGAGGGTCCGACTTCAGCTTAGGTCATAATTTCTCAGTTTATTAGTTCAAGCCCCAAATGAGGCTCTCCACTGTCAGCACAGAGCCGGCTTTGGAGCCTCTGCCCCTCACTCTGCCCCTCTCTTTGCCCCTCCCTTGCTCGTTTTAAATAAAACATTAAAAAAAAAAAAAGAAATCAAGAGTAGGATGCTCAACTGACTGAGCCAGCCAGGTACCCCTTCTTTCTTTTTTAATGTAAACTCTGTGTTCCGGGCACCTGGGTGGCTTAGTCAGTTGAGCCTCTGACTTCAGGTCATAAGCTCATAGTTCAAGGTTGGAGCTCTGTGTCAGCTCTGTGCTGACAGCTTGGAGCCTGGAGCCTGCTTCAGATTCTGCCTCCCGTACTCTTCCCCTCCCCTGCTTGTGCTCTATCTCTTTTTCTCTCAAAAATAAATAAAAACATTAAAAAAATTTTTTTTAAGTAAGCTGTATGCCCAGTGTGGGACTTGAACTCATGAGATCAAAAGTCACATGCTCCACTGACTAAACCAGCCAGGTGCTCCTAGACTTCCCCATTCCAAGTAGAATAAAGTGTTCCCCAAAGGGCCTCTCCCTAAGGTCAGGGTCCTCCCCACTGTCCTGTCCACTGCCCCTGGTGGGACTTCCTCCTCCCGCAGAGCTTTCAAAGGTGGAGAGGTGGGGGCCCAGGAGTAGCCTCTTCACAGGGACCCCCATGGTGGATGGCCACTGGGTTGGGGAGTCCTGAGAAAGGGAGACCATAGGCAGGCTCTGCCCTGGCTCCTGCCTGTCACCTCGGGGATTTCTTGTTTGCTAGGGTGGGTCTGGGCCCCCCACTGCTCAGGGCCTTACATGCCCTCCCCACCCCCTTGCCCTTGGTAGAAGCTGGACCTGGAGCGGGAGACCATTGAGCTGGTGCACACAGAGCCCACGGAAGTGGCCCAGCTGCCGTCAAGGGTGCCCCGAGATGCCGCCCGCTACCACTTCTTCCTCTACAAGCACACCCATGAGGGTGACCACCTCGAGTCTGTGGGTGAGTGCCCACAGCAGGGCCCCACACCCGTGGCTGAATAGAAACAGCACTGGCCTATGGCCAGGCGGGCTTGCTGCAGGGGGTGTGGGGGGCACAGGCCTGTAGGTCCCCCAGCCTCAGCTCACTTCTCCATCCCCCACAGTGTTCATCTACTCAATGCCGGGGTACAAGTGCAGCATCAAGGAGCGCATGCTCTATTCCAGCTGTAAGAGCCGCCTCCTCGATTCCGTGGAGCAGGACTTCCAGCTGGAGATCTCCAAGAAGGTGGGTGCCCATTCCCCAGAGCCTCACCTCCCAGGGGCCTCTAACACCACCCTCCACACGGGGGCATTGGAGTCCCAAGACAGTGGCAGGGCAGGGGTCATTGTCGCCTTGTGGAATGGATGTGGATGAGGCCCAAGGGGTATTGCCCAGGGTGCCCAGCTGACTGGTGGCATGGACAAGCCCTCGTCTTGACCGCCCATGACTCTCGTCTCCCAAGGTCTGAAAGACATGCAGGACATTAGGTCCCAGCAGAGTGTTCCTGGAGGTGGCACTCCAGGTGGGGGGATCTGGGAGGAGACCCCCGGGCTGGAGTGTGAGAGGTCAAGGGGCTGCCCCAGGAGTGGAGGTGATCAAGGGTGGTGTGTGGGCGGCCCCCGACCAGACCACTGCCTTGCCCCATGCAGATTGAGATTGGAGATGGGGCGGAGCTGACAGCCGAGTTCCTCTACGACGAGGTGCACCCCAAACAACATGCCTTCAAGCAGGCCTTTGCCAAGCCCAAGGGCCCAGGGGGCAAGCGGGGCCACAAGCGCCTCATCCGTGGCCCTGGCGAGAACGGGGATGACAGCTAGGTGGCCGGACCTGAGCTGCCCCGGCATGCGGACTGTGGGGCTGTGCACCCCACTGCTCCCGGCCATCTGCCTCCTTCCCAGCCTGGGCTCCAGGGGAGGGTTGCTGCTTGTGGGGCAGGAGGGCTGCTGACAGAACATTCTTGCAGCTTCCGAGGGCCACTGAGCTGTCATTTTTGTGACCTTCCCCTGTTGCTGTCCCTGCCTCTCATCTGTGTCCCCAAGGGGTCTGGGGACCCTGCCTGTCTGGCTCAAGGGGGCTGGGTACGGAGCCTAGAATGAGCTTGGCCCCCAGGGGAACTGAGACTAGGGCCCCAGCACATCCCAGAAGCCTTTGGCCACAGGGGTGGGTTTAGTCAGGGCTGGGGTAGGGGTTCCCTGCAGGGTAAGATGGTTGAATGCTGTATTTTTTAAAGAATAAAATATTTTTAAATCAACACCTGAGTCTGGCCCTGAGGGATCCACGTCTGACACTGGAATCGGAAGACCCTGTGTATATAACTGCGCCCTTTCATCTTCGAAGGGGCCTGTCAGCCTGTTAGGTGGGCTACAGGTATGTGGGAGAACGTGTGTCTGTGTGTGTGAGGACAGAAGCCTCACACAGGTCCCCTTGTTGACAGGAGCTCGGCCCAAAAGACAGCCACACCTTTGCCGTGATGGAGCATCTGGGTGTATTAGTGTCCTATGGCTGCGGTAACAAAATACCATAAGCTTAGCGGCTTGAACCCCCACATATTTACTATCTTGGCAGTTCTTGTGAATCTAACAAGGTCAAAGTCTGACAGGGCTGAAATCCAGGTGCTAGCAGGGCTTGCTCCTTTTGGAGGAGGCGGGGAACATCCGTTACCTTGTCCACCTGGAAAGGCTACCTACATTCCCTGATCCCATCGTCAAACCAGAGGGGGAGCCTCTCCGATTCTGCTTCCGGTCACATGCCTTCTTCTGTAGTCAGATCCCCCTGTGCCTCCATCTCATAAGGATGCTTGTGGTTATATTCACCTCCCCACTTTCCAGATACTCTCCCCACTCAGGATCCTTCACCTCCTCCCACCTGCAAGGCCCCTTTTATTATGTACAGTAGCATATTCATAGGTTCCGGGGATTAGGGTGTGGATCTCCTTGGGGCATTCTTCAGCCTGCCACACTGGGTGTGCCCACCCCACGGGGTTTCCAGGCCTCTTTGGGGCTGTGGCATGGAACTTGGAGTCTCTGGTTCACATGTGCACGTATGTGTATGTGCATGTACGCATGCACACATACATGTGTGCATACCTGTCAGCTCATTGGCCCTCTCATATTTGCTTTTCTGTCCACAAGAGTCTGGCTCCCTGGTCCCAGTGTCTCTGGCAGGGTCTCCTGTAGGTTTGGGATCCAGCAGAAGCCAGGAATTCAGTCTGTGCCTGAGACCCCTCCTATGCCAGGTGGGAGCTGCGCACAGATGGGGATGTGGGGGTCAGTGGCTGGGATTCAGGTGCTGAATGGGCACTGTCCTTTCTTTGGGGAGCATGTGTTGGGCTGGGGCTCAGGGGAGTGTCCCATCCCTGGGGCCTTTCCCAGCCCCTACTAAAGACCCTAGAATTACAGAGAGGAGAGCTGGAACCCCAGCCAGGATCTAGAGCGGGCTGCCTGTCCTCATCCACCCCCAAACACTGGTTCCTAGGTGGGCAGGAAGACCGTGCCATTACCCCCACACTGCTAAAGTCCTGGGCCTGTGTGCCAGCTGGATGCCTGGCAGCTGGGGTCTGCCTGCCATGATAGCCACCCAGAGGTGGGCATGGAAAAGCAGGGTGGCAGGTGTCTAGCCCAGGCCAAAGCCCTATTTGTTCATTCATTAATTCATCCAGCCATCATTCAGAGACATTCTGTGCCTGCCCAGAGCTGAGTGCTGGAGACTCATGGAAGCAGCAAAGAGAGACCACCTTATGATGTTCTGGGCACTCTGGGCCCTGGGTATACAGACAGAAAGACTCTTGCCATTAAGAAGCAGACATTCCAGCAGGGTAATAAGACAAAATACAATAAACCATGGAAAATCAATGATATGATGTGTTAGCAGGTAAAAACTTAGGACGAAGAAAAGCAGCAGGTAAAGGGGCTTAGGAGTGCCAGATCCAGGGTGGAAGGTTTAAAAGAAGGTCGGGAAAGGCCTCCAGAGGGTAATGTGTGAGCTGAAATATCTAGGAAAGGGGCTTCCAGGCAGAGCGAACAGTAAGTCCAAAGGCCCTGGGGCGGGAGACTGCACAGGAGTATTCAAGACAGAGCCAGGAGGCCAAAGTGGCTGGGGACTGGTCAGGGAAGCGATGGGAGGCCAGATCCCATAGGACCTTCTTGGCCATTATGTGGACTGTGCCTTTGATTCCAGAGAGGGCCAAGGAGGAGTCTGAGCAGAGGAAAGACCTAATGTGACTTAGGGGCTAAAGGTGAATAGGCTGTGAGGTTATGAGAGCAGAAGCAGGACAACCCATGAGTTGGTGGCAACTGCACTGGTCTAGGCGAGAGATGATGGCGGCTCGGGCCAGGCTGGTGAATGTGGCACCTGTGGGCAATGGGCAGATTCTGAAGGTGGAGCCAACAGGACTTGCTGAGGGGCCCAAGTCCCCTGAGGCCTTGGGCCTGAGTAATCTGTTATGATCTGCTGGGTCAGAGGGAGTGTGGGAAGATCCGCCCAGCTGGCCCAGCCGTGGGGTGGGGTAGGTGCTAGGACGGGGCCCCAGACACACTGGGAACGCAGATCAGGAGACCCTGCTCCAGGAGGAAGTGGAAGGCTGTGGTGGAGGCAGGTGTAGCCTGGCTGGGGCCAATGTGGCCGCACTCCCTGGTATGTTCGGCCCCGCAGAGCTCTGGGGACAGGTCGTAGTGGCAGGAAAGGGCAGATGTGGGAACCACTGGCCTGAGAGAGCTCCCTTTGGGGCGGGGCCAAGGGGCTGAGGTGTGAGAGTGAGAGTCCTCTTGGGACAAGGGCCCTGACATGGGTGTCAGCATGCCCAGCCCACGGCTGGCACTGCCCTCAATTCCAGTTTCACTGGCCTAAGCCTGGTCTCTGGGCCTCTGTCTCTCCCTGATAACAGCTATGAGACCCTCTGCTGTAGCAGATTGTTGGGATAGGGTGGGGGGCAGTGAGGGAGTGGAAAGAGGAAGGAGTGAAGGGGCTGTCTGCCATCTGCCTATGCAAATGGCCTCTGACTCACCGCACCACCCCACCCCTTGCTGCGGGCAGGGTGGGGGCGAGGGAGGGGGCTACTGTGTTATTTCTAAATTCTCACTTCCTCTGTTCTCTGAGCCAACGCTGTGGGAAGGGGCTGCGAGCTCCAGGCATTCCTCCCTGCAGTAGCTGCCGAGTCTGCCATCCAGACCCTCTGGAGAAGCCCCCCTCCCTGTCATGGTAGGACAGCAGCCCTCAGCCCCCCAGGGAAGGGGGGCAGTGGGAAGTGGTGGGGGGGAGGTGGGTTTGGTGGCTACAGACAATAGTGAAAGGGGTTATCCCCCAACCTGGCCCTGGGGACACTCACTGAACCCTGAAGATATCAGAGCAGGAGCCTGTCTCTAGGCAATGAGACCCAAACCCATTATGCGGATGAGGAGGCTGAGGCCTAGGGCTTCACTCAGTGGTGGTGTGGGGGCTACAAGCAAGGTGGACGCAACAGGACTAGGCCCTGGCTCGTTGCTGCCCACCCCCTCTGATCCGTTGGGACCTACAGTGGGTTGAGTGCTTGGGCTGGGAGAGGTGGGTAGAGGAGGAAGAGCTGGGCAGTGCCCGTCCCAGGCAGGGTCCTGGGTGGTCCTCAGCCTGGAACCCAGCAGAAGACCCTCATTCCTTCCTGGGACTTGGCCAAAGGGAGGGGGAGGAGTTGGAGGAGGCTCATGGAGGACACCCCGGTGTCCTTTTCAGGATGGCTGTGTGGAAGGGAGCCAGAGGCCTCCTTGCTCAGGAAGGAAGAGAAGTGATCTCTGAGGAAGGGAAAGGGAAAGTCAGGGAGAACCTGGTGGGCCTGCTGCCTGACTGCCTGGCTCTCCTGTCTGACGGGGGTTGGTTTGGAGTGAGAGTTCTAGATCGTGAGTCTGGATTCCAGGTTTCAGAAGCAGTTCTGAGTTGAAGGCTGGGTCTGAGACCTGAGTTAAGTTCTCCGTGAGGCCTAGAGGTGGGGTGGGTGCTGGGCAGAGAGGCAGGAGCTTCCCTGGGGAAGGCTTGGGGAGAGCGTTTGGGAGCCCTGTTGGGAGACCCCAGGAAGGGGGACAGATGGAGCTGTGCTGGGGCTGCACACTCACAGTCCCGCAGGGCCCCCGCCGTGGCGCCCTGCACCCCCTGTCTCTCCTGGTACAGGCCGCCGTGTTGGCTGTGGCCTTGGCCCAGGGCGCCCTGCCTGCCTTCCTGCCCTGTGAGCTCCAGCGCCACGGCCTGGTGAATTGCAACTGGCTGTTCCTCAAGTCTGTGCCCCACTTCTCGGCAGCAGCACCCCGCGGTAACGTCACCAGCCTTTCCCTGTATTCCAACCGCATCCACCACCTCCATGACTCTGACTTTGTCCACCTGTCCAGCCTGCGGCATCTCAACCTCAAATGGAACTGCCCGCCCACCAGCCTCAGCCCCATGCACTTCCCCTGTCACATGACCATCGAGCCCCACACCTTCCTGGCTGTGCCCACCCTGGAGGAGCTGAACCTGAGCTACAACAGCATCACGACGGTCCCTGCCCTGCCCAGTTCCCTCGTGTCCCTGTCCCTGAGCCACACCAACATCCTGGTGCTAGACCCTGCCAGCCTCACAGGCCTGCATGCCCTGCGCTTCCTATTCCTGGATGGCAACTGCTACTACAAGAACCCCTGCCCGCAGGCCCTGCAGGTGGCCCCAGGTGCCCTCCTTGGCCTGGGCAACCTTATGCACCTGTCGCTCAAGTACAACAACCTCACCATGGTGCCCCGCGGCCTGCCCCCCAGCCTGGAGTACCTCCTACTGTCCTACAACCACATCATCACCCTGGCGCCTGAGGACCTGGCCAACCTGACCGCCCTGCGTGTGCTTGATGTGGGTGGGAACTGCCGCCGCTGTGACCACGCCCGCAACCCCTGTATGGAGTGCCCCAAGGGCTTCCCACACCTGCACCCTGACACCTTCAGCCACTTGAGCCACCTCGAAGGCCTGGTCTTGAAGGACAGCTCTCTCTACGACCTGAACCCCAGATGGTTCCGTGGCCTGAGCAACCTCACGGTGCTGGACCTGAGTGAGAACTTCCTATATGACTGCATCACCAAAACCAAAGCCTTCCAGGGCCTGGCCCAGCTGCGCAGACTCAACCTGTCCTTCAATTACCACAAGAAGGTATCCTTTGCCCACCTTCGTCTGGCGCCCTCCTTCAGGAGCCTGCTCTCCCTGCAGCAACTGGACATGCACGGCATCTTCTTCCGCTCGCTCAGTGAGACCACGCTCCAGTCGCTGGCCCACCTGCCCATGCTCCAGAGGCTGCACCTGCAGATGAACTTCATCAACCAGGCCCAGCTGAGCATCTTCGGGGCCTTCCCTGGCCTGCAATACGTGGACCTGTCAGACAACCGCATAAGTGGAGCCACAGAGCTGATGGCTGCCACGGGAGAGATGGATGGTGGGGAGAGAGTCTGGCTGCCGTCCGGGGACCTCGCTCTGGGCCCACTGGACACCCCGAGCTCCAAGGGCTTCATGCCGAGCTGCAAGACCCTCAACTTCACCTTGGACCTGTCACGGAACAACCTAGCCACGATCCAGCCAGAGATGTTTGCCCGGCTCTCACGCCTCCAGTGCCTGCTCCTGAGCCGCAACAGCATCTCGCAGGCGGTCAACGGCTCACAGTTTGTGCCCCTGACCAGCCTGCGGGTGTTGGACCTGTCCCACAACAAGCTGGACCTATACCACGGGCGCTCCTTCACGGAGCTGCCGCAGCTGGAGGCCCTGGACCTCAGCTACAACAGCCAGCCGTTCAGCATGCAGGGCGTGGGCCACAACCTCAGCTTTGTGGCGCAGCTGCCAACTCTGCGCTACCTCAGCCTGGCGCACAACGACATCCACAGCCGTGTGTCCCAGCAGCTCTGCAGCGCCTCGCTCCGGGCCTTGGACTTCAGTGGCAATGCCCTGAGCCAGATGTGGGCCGAGGGAGACCTGTATCTTCACTTCTTCCAAGGCCTGAGGAGACTGGTCCAGTTGGACCTGTCCCAGAACCGCCTGCATACCCTCTTGCCACGCAACCTGGACAACCTCCCCAAGAGCCTGCGGCTGCTGCGTCTCCGTGACAATTATCTGGCTTTCTTCAACTGGAGCAGCCTGGTCCTCCTCCCCAAGCTGGAGGCCCTGGACCTGGCGGGAAACCAGCTGAAGGCCCTGAGCAACGGCAGCTTGCCTAACGGGACCCAGCTCCAGAGGCTGGACCTCAGCAGCAACAGCATCAGCTTCGTGGCCTCTGGTTTTTTTGCTCTGGCCACGAGGCTGCAAGAGCTCAACCTCAGTGCCAATGCCCTCAAGACGGTGGAGCCCTCCTGGTTCGGTTCTCTAGCGGGCGTCCTGAAAGTCCTGGATGTGACTGGCAATCCCCTGCACTGCGCCTGCGGGGCAACCTTCGTGGACTTCTTGCTGGAGGTGCAGGCTGCGGTGCCCGGCCTGCCCAGCCACGTCAAGTGTGGCAGTCCAGGGCAGCTCCAGGGCCGCAGCATCTTTGCGCAGGACCTGCGCCTCTGCCTGGACGAGGCCCTCTCCTGGGACTGCTTTGGCCTCACGCTGCTGACCGTGGCCCTGGGCCTGGCCGTGCCCATGCTGCACCACCTCTGTGCCTGGGACCTCTGGTACTGCTTCCACCTGTGCCTGGCCTGGCTGCCCCGGCGGGGGCGGCAGCGGGGTGCAGATGCCCTGCGCTACGATGCCTTCGTGGTCTTCGACAAGACCCAGAGCGCGGTGGCCGACTGGGTGTACAACGAGCTGCGGGTACGGCTAGAGGAGCGCCGCGGGCGCCGGGCGCTCCGCCTGTGCCTGGAGGAACGTGACTGGCTACCCGGTAAAACGCTCTTTGAGAACCTGTGGGCCTCAGTTTACAGCAGCCGCAAGACACTGTTTGTGCTGGCCCACACGGACAGGGTCAGCGGCCTCTTGCGCGCCAGCTTCCTGCTGGCCCAGCAGCGCCTGCTGGAGGACCGCAAGGACGTCGTGGTGCTGGTGATCCTGCGCCCCAATGCCCACCGCTCCCGCTACGTGCGGCTGCGCCAGCGCCTCTGCCGCCAGAGCGTCCTCCTCTGGCCCCACCAGCCTAGTGGCCAGCGCAGCTTCTGGGCCCAGCTGGGCACCGCCCTGACCAGGGACAACCACCACTTCTATAACCAGAACTTCTGCCGGGGCCCCACCACGGCGGAGTGACAGCCCAGCACCCCTACCCCTCTACACCTTGCCTGTCTGCCTGCAACACCTCTGCTCTGCCGCCCCCATTCCCACCCCTGGCATATAGCAGGTGCTCAATAAATGCTGCTGGTAGGTTGAACGGCTAACCCGAGCTCACTGGAGGAGTGAGTGGGAGGAGAGAAGAGATAATTCACCAGGCTTTCCTTCCTAATGTGAGGAGGGGCAGAGGTGATTTGGAAGAAATTGACAAAGAGAAAAAGGGAGGGCCCACAGGACACAGGTCTCCAGGGGAGGGAAACTACTAAGGGCAGCTGCTTGGTCCTTCCCTGAGGGCAGGCCGGGTCTCCTGCCCCTTTCAACCCCTCCCCATGTGCCCTACTGTCCCCAGGCTAGGTCAGCACCTCTCTGTTGGGCAGAGAACTTTTTATGTGTATATATATCTATCTCTATCTCTATCTCTATACTTCTATATCTATATAGAAATCTATATATGTGTATATCTAGATCTAGATCTAGATCTATATATATCTATATCTAGGTATAGATAGGTATAGATATAGATATACACATATATAAATGTTTAATTACTTTTGAGAGAGGAAGAGCACATGGGCGGGGGAGGGAGCAGGGGGAGAGATGGGAGCAGGGGAGGGACAGAGAGAGAAAGGGACTGAGGATCTGAAGTGTAGCTCGAAGAAGCACCATGAGATCATGAAGGAGCATCACAAGATCATGACCGAAGTCGGAAGCTTAACTGACTGAGCTACCTGGGTGCCCCAGGCCTGCTTCATTTCTGCCCCTTGGCAAAGTCTAGAGAAGCAGCCGCCCTAATGAGTATTCATTCCCAATCCCAAACCGGAGTAGGGGGGTGGGGAGGGGGGGAATGTCTTTGTGGGAAGTTCAGAGGGACATTTGCGCCCTCTTGTGGCCATGCCTGTGCTGTACCCAGGAGGCTGGCCCGGCAAGGAGCTGGGAGCCATAGAAGATTCTAGAGTGAGCTCACAATCAATTCCCTTCTGTTTTCACCTAGAATGCATGCTGGGTCTCTCTGTTCTGACATCAGAGGGACACCTGGGTGAGCCACTACCTGGCTCCAAAGGTGGGCCTGCCTTCCCTGCTCTTGCCTTACACAGCTGATTGCGTTTAGGTGGGAGACACAGGCACATGTGATGAGGGTTGCAGTATGTGTGTGAATTTCTAGTTCCGATACCCAGTGTAGGGTTCCAGACATTGCTTGAAGCACCAATGACCAGTGTTTGGAGACAGTCTGATAGATGATAGAGTCTGCACTCACGTGTGCGGGGAGTTGTGGATCATGTCAGGCCTAGAGCCCGAGAAGTTGCTTTGTCCTGAGTTGCTGCCTCACTGTCTCCACAGCTGAACCTGCCTTTTGAGGAGCAGAAGGGACACGTGCAGCCAGACAGTTGGAGCTGGGGCCTGGGGTGGCAGGAGAGTGGAACCGGCTTGGCTGGCTCAGGACAGCTGGAGGCCAGCTCAGCTGCTCCAGGACTCTAGGGCAGAAGCCTGGAGCTGGCCGCAGACTTGGCTGATCTTGCAGCCTGATTGTGGGCAGTCCTGGGGTCGAGGTGGGGAGGCTGCTTTTGCCCCTCCCCCCAGCCCCCCACCCTCACTCCAGGGCATAGTTGGGAAAGAAATATGGACTGCCTTCCTTTTTCTGACTTGGGCACAGGGGCTCCTGTGGTAGGCTGGTGGCCCCTGTTATCTGCTTTCCAGAAAGACAGAAAGGTCTGATCCACCAATCAGAAGTCCCACATAGGGGTGCCTGGTGGCTCAGCCGGCTAAACAGTTAAGCATCTGACTCTTGATTTCGGCTCAGGTTATGATCTCACAGTTTGTGGGGATTGAGCCCTGAATGGGGCTTCCTGCTGACAGCACGGAGCCTCCTTGGGATTCTCTCCCCTCCACCCCCCGCCCCCAAAATAAATAAATATACTTTAAAAAAAACCTGTCCCACATGGGCTCTGTCCTGTCTCTTGAGAGGGCCTCTCAGCTTCTGGAGGAGCAGGCTGGAGGAGTGGCATGGCCCTGTTACTTCCTTGGCCTGTGCCTGGGAAGAAAAGAAAACAAGAACTTTCCCTCAGGCTGGAGTCTAGGGGAGGGCCCTGCCGAAGGCTCTTAGGCTGTTGCGCCACACCTAGGAGCAGGAGCAGGAACAGGAGCAGGAAGAGGGCCCAGTCATTCTGCATGCGGGAGTGGGAGGCACAATTTGACTGTATCTCAGGACAGCTGAGTCTGCCCCCAGGCAGTTCCCAGAACCCTCGTGTACCCACCCACCCACTCATGCTCACAGTCCTGGTTCTTCTGGGGCCTCGGATTCAGAAGAAGAGCATCTTGGAGATGAAGCATGGGGGCTATGGTAGAATGACTATTGGCTTAAGGGAGTCTGAGAGTCCATGACCCTCAGTTCAATCTGCAGACAAAAGTTCTGCTGTTGTCTCCAGGATCAGAAGGGGCAGAGCTCCCTTAGCCCAAGTCCTGGGCTCAGGTGGAGCTGCTGAGAAGGGCTCCCAGTGCGCTGTGATCAGGAAGGGTGCCCGTGGCTGGCTCCAGGCCCTCTCCTCCGCGCTGCCTGGCACGGAGTGTAAGTACCAGCTGCGGCCTGCCACTGCAGGGCTGGGGAAGAGTGGCACTCGGGTCAGCTTACCTGGGCTAACTGCCGGCTCTGCCATTTGGATTGTCTGGGGGGGTGGGCGACCTCCCCTTTGGAGCTTCAGTTTGCTCATCTGTACATAGGGGTGGCCAGGGTTACTCTGCAGGCTGTTAGAAGGCTTGGTGCTCACGTGTGTGAAGGTCTGAGAAACCTAGCAGCCCCCAGTCATTATTAGGTAAGGGGCTTATGCTGATGTGGCTTCACTTTTTGATCTCTGCACCCAGAGACTGACCCTCCACCCAGAGCACTGAATGGGTTTTGAAGAGAGATGTGATTGAATCAGAGGCACAGGAAGCTGGGAGTTAGGACCGTGGTGTTGCCTCCTGTGCTTTTTGCTGTGGTGGGGCAGTGAGTACTAGACAAACAGAAGTCTGGGCACCAGACTTAGGGAAATCTGATAGGAGGAAACTTCTATGTAAGGAAATTCTCCCCACTAAGATTGGAAACTACAACTCACTCTTTTCCCTCGAGGATCCTTTAATGCTCTGGGTGTCTCCATAGTCTTGGAAAACTTCTATGACATCAGACATTTCTACACTCAAATCCTTGTTAGAAGCCCAGCTTCTCATTTTTCAGCAGTTCACAAATCCCATCCACTTCCTGCGGATCGTACCACCATCCTTTGTTCGCATAACCCCGAGTAGCAGTGAGGAGAGAAGGTGGGTGACCACCTCATTGACCCAGCTGGCTCTGGGCATTACGAGAAGGAAAGGAGGTCTTGCTAAGTGTTCAGAGAGAATCATTACCCACGCTAGAGGAGCAAGTCACACTGGGAGGAAAAAAGGTGGAGGGAGTTCCTGGCGTGGGAACACGGGGTGAGGCGGGGGGATAGTGGGAAAGCCCAGCCGCTCATGTGGGAACAGGGCTGGGAAAGCGAGTGAGGCGTGTTTCCCGAGCAGAGAGGAACCATGTGGTGGTTTCGAGGTGCCGTGACTCCCAGCATGCCCAGCAGATGCCTAGATGTGTGGCTTTGATGGGACCAGAACTCAGCCCCTTTCTCCCAGGCCAGTTCAGAGAGGAGTGCACCCCAGGCAGGTGTGCCAGCACAACTGTGTCCAGGGAGGCGAGAGCCACAGCTGCCCTTCTAGAGCTAAGAGAGGGGAGTGAGGCTGGGCATTGTCTTTGTCCTCTGACTGCTTGGGGTTCCTTCAGCTCCCCTGTGCTTTCCAGTGAAGCAGACTTGGTTGTTACCCTTGGTCCCTGTTGTGGGCTGATTGTGTACTCCCTGAATTCATGTATTAGAGCCCTAACCCCAGTGTGGTGACATTTGGAGGTGCAGGCCTTTGAAAGATTAGGTTATAAAGTGAGGCCCTCATGGTGGGATTAGAGACCTTAGAGAAAGAGGAAGAACTCTCTCTGCACATTCTGAGGAAAGGTCATGTGAATTTATGGCAAGAGAGAGGTCTGCAAGCCAAGAAGAGAGCTCCCACCAGGAACTGAAACTGTTAGCAGCTTGATCTTGACCTTCCCAGCCTCCACAACTGTGAGAAATGGATGTCTCCTGGTGTCTGGGGTGTTTTATTACAGCAGCTAGAGTGAAGAAAGCTCTCTTTCATTCGGCACACACTTGCTCAGTGCCTGCTATGTGTCAGGTACTGTGCTGGGCACTGGGGATATATAAGTGAGGGGACATATGAGCAACAGGGGAAAAGTCATTGCGAGTGGTGGCCAGGACTCTGAAGGGCAGCAGAGGTCAAGTGACAGTGAGAACACTAGAGGGGCTGGGCTGCCTTATTCCAGGGCTCAGGAAAGGTCTCCACAGGACTCTGGTCTTATGTAAAGAAAGGCAGGCACGCCATGACTCAGGTCGAAAAATGTAGGCAAGAAACAAAAGCTAACAGCAAGCCCCAGAAGCTAGAGACCACCTGGGAGGTCTGAGACCTAGGAGAGCGTGCCAGCGCACGAAGCAGAGTGAAGAATGGAGAATGGAGGTGGGATGGGATCCCGGCTGCAGAGAATACGGTCAGCCTGTGTGAGCAAGCTGGGATTTAATCCGACTGCCACTGGAAGGCCCAGGCAAGTTGTCTGCAGGGGAGGACATAATCTGCTTTACAGTTTTAAAAGCTCTGTCAGGCTGCCGCGTAGGGTCAGGGTTGGGGCAGATGCCAGGATGATGGCATGCCTGGGATGGCAGCAGCAGAGGTGACGGGAAGTGGGCTGGCCTGACACGTATCTTAGAATATAAAGGACTTTGCCAACAGTCTCATGTGAGGAAAGATAGCTGACTTCTCCATGAGGGACCAAAGTAGTGGGCAGCCCCAGGTGTCCCCTGGACCTGTGGGTTCGAGGTGTTTGTCCGATAGCAGTCAGCAGCGATCAGCTGGACCAGAAAGCCCAGGGCTGGGAGAGATCACGTGGAGCAAGTGAAGTGCTAAATGCAATTAGAGACGA